ACATATGAATGTGCCAATCTAGAGGATATGGACTACCTGTGCAACCTGATTGGGCTACAGGTACCACCTCATGCTACCAGGGACAGGGACACTGGCAGAACACAAAACTGGAGAGGAAGGAAGGACCACATGTAAAATCATTCCTTTTTGGGGGTTGTCTTGCTTTTGCCTCTGCAGCTGTTGTCACTTTCATTTGCACCAAAGCAGGTGAAACTGATTCACAATCACGTGTGCTTCCTAAAAGGACAGATCGATATCCCGGAAGTTTAACTGACTTGGTGTTACACTGTGACCATTGAGTGTTCCCTCCGTTATTTTGAGCAATATAAAATCTTGACTGTGGGACTTTTTTCAGATTGGTGTTGCAAGTTTTACTTAATAAAAGATATGTGTATTTCCTCCACCGCTGATTTTGTTTTAGCTGTGAGCAGCCTCTCCATTTCCATTTTGCATTGCATTGTGGGAGAACAGTGTCCTTCAACAGCACACTCAACAGCTGACTATTTTGCATACAGTATGGTGTAAGTATACTCAATTTTGCCACTTTTCCAGTGTGGACACACCACGGACTCAAAATCTCCTTAGAATTAATATGGATTTGGGACGTACCGTAACCATGACGAATAAGCTAAAAATGCCCCTTTTAATGAGACTGTATCACATTGTGCTCCAGTCCTGTGCTTTGTTGGTTTGAGATCATGTGAACTGGATTGTTTATGGCTTAACTCATTTTAAGGCTCATTAAACCATAAAGTAAACATTTGTGAATTGAGGATTGCCATGCAGGATGATCAGACTTCCATCAGGACAGAAACTCCTCCATATAATGAGAGAAAGTTCAAATTATTCAGATCTGCCAAAACCTTTCAACATGAAACACCCAAATGAATCATCAGTGGAATTTCAAAACAAAGCCACAAAGCACTGGTTTCAGTTTTATAGTTTTATTGAATTGCATCACTCTACATCATCTAGAATTTCAACAAGATATTCTTTAAAGACCAAATATAATACTTGCATCCCTGCATTAAGTCTCTACACTTAAGAAGAGAAAGCAGTTTTACTGAAACATACATTAAGAATTAATATTTCATTAAACATTGCCATAAAAGTGAATGTTCATTCTTATATGCCATTTTTCTAGTCATATATATATATTTTATATAATAGATTTTAGTCTCTGTCTCCTTCATAGGAATACTAGAAAAGAAAGAAGAAGGTAAGAAATGCACAAAACCCATTGAAGAGTAGCATTGCCTAATACTACAGCAAAGAAGTTACTGGACATTCAGTTGACATGCACTCAGTTGAAGGATAGAAAAGAACACAGCCATAGAAGGGAAGAGTTATGGCCTCGATCAGTTTGGCAAATTCCTGATTGGCTTGGTATCGTGAGGTAAACCTGGTGACACGCTTCCTGTCCACCAGCTTCCCTACAGCTACAGAAAGCGATGCTGCTGCCTACAGGAGGCTTAATCTTTATATATTGTGTCCTCTGCTGTTTCATCTTTTCATGTTGCCAGGAAACATTCAATCAAGGCCTATTTCACTACATTTCAATGGCATAACTCTTTCATTGTATGACGAAGCACAGGTTGCACTGAGGAATAGGAGGATAGAAAAGAACAGGTTGCACAGTCTGAGGGACATTCAGGAATGTATCAATAGGAAACAGTATTGGCATTTCTGACAGTTCACTCACTATCTACCTCATATACACAACCCAACCGAGCTGGGCGCAATGAACAGGAAAGGAACCCTTGATTAGAGCATGTGAGCTGCATTCAGCTGGGCGCTCGAGTACTGTAAAACTATGGCTATCAGTATAGTAAGTCACTGACATGTAAACATCAATCCATGCAATATGGCTTTATGTTTCTATTCGCAATACAGCAGCTCCTTCTTGAACGCAAACAAGATTTGGCACAGGAGTGCAAGTAATTATATTTTTTAAGAAGTGAGAGATTAAAGGTGCCCTGTGGAGCGTTCTTGCAACAAACCAAAGTCCTGTTTACATTCGGCGTTTCACATTGTTCTGTCATTAGCTAAGCTGCAGTTTAAGGTTCAGGACAGGTTTAAACCTGCGTTCACTGGAACAAAATCACATGGTCCCCATTGCTGTGTCCTCAGAGACACTAAAAATCCAGGGATTAACTTAAACCTAATGCAGACGTGCTTTAAGAGATTTAAGGTAACGTATGTATTACTCTGATCTTTAGTATGTTGTTATAGAAACAGCAACGAATGTGAGTCAAATATGAAATACATCTAAAATATGTCCAAACTGGCAAGCAGCTTTGACAATCAGTAATTTATAGCTGTCAATTGTTAACTTCGCACAAGCCAATGAACAAAAAAACAGCTATCTTCAAACCTGAGTGGCCTTGGTGCAGATTAAAGGGTGTTAAAAGATAAGAAATTCTAACAGAGTCAAAGCCACAGATGGCTTTAAAAGTAACTTAAAGGATCATAAACAGAACCCTATAGGGAGTCTGGGTAATCCAGCCAAGTGATGCGGAGATACGGTTTCTGCTGATGCAGAATGCAGCAAGACAAGATGATAGCACGGGCAGCCTATGATAGGATGTAACGTAAGCTAAAATGTGCTATGATTGATTTCTGCTGCTGGAACCAGGAGACAGGGTTCAGCAGAAGCAGGGATTGGAGTTACAAGACTTGAGTCACACATTTGATGACTTTGGACTGGACCCGACAAAATCAAAAGTCTTGCAACTCTGCTTAGACTTCAACACCAATGACTTGTGACTTCACTTGGACTTGAGCCATTTGACTTGAAAATACATGACTTACATTTATAAAAGAGCACATTTTGACTTGTTTATGACTTGAAACTCAAAGATCAGAACTTGGGTCCTGTCAGTCTTTATTTGGGACTCAGGACTTGCTCGCTTTGACTTGGAACTTGAATGCAAAAACTCAAGACGTACTTATGACTTGCATGACAATGACTTTGTGCCACCTCTGGGATTTAGGATAGGTACATCTCCTGATTGTTTGAGGTAATGTTATTTTCACATTGATATTTTTTAAATATTTGCAATGTCAGAAACATCTGCTGGCATGTTATTTTGATTTTTTTTTTTGGTCATTTAAAATATAGCCAAGTAAATTGTAAAAAATGAAAATTAGGCTTTTTTTTTAACTACTAATACTGCATTGGACAGATCTTAAGTTAACTTCTTCATACATCTGATTTAGCTGCAGGTTATCTCCAGTTCGTCAAATAGCTGTGTTTATAAGTGTTACAAGTTCCGGTTTAGTTGGACCCACTTCAAACTGCAGCTAGTCAGATGCTAAGGGACATGTTTGCTAGCAACTTTCTTCTTTGCCTTTGTTGGTACTTTGACTGTTGACTGTTAATCAGCAAATGGCAAGATCAGCAAAAATATGTATTCTGTCCTACATCATACAAACAAGGACACCCACTAATTGAAACATTGCTTCATAGCGCTACCTGTGGTAAGAAAAACTCCACAGGGTACCTTTAGCACAGACACTGAGAGATTAGTAGGTGCATATCACAAATAAAGCATCAATGCCTTTGCATGCCAGTTCTACAAGCCTACTGTAATACGAACTTCTGTTACAGTACATGTAATAATATTCAACACTTCCACATTCCACCAAGTCCTGCCCTGCTCAATGCAGCCCAGAGCGGTGCTAGATCAATATTAGTATCAGTGTAGCTGAATCCCCACTCACCGCTACCACAGTACTGGCAGATGACAGACTGGCTGTCATACACATGTGAAAATAGAGAAAATAGATTAACAGTGATGTGGATGGAAAGGTGCCACCTTTGAAAGTATAGAGCTATAAAGAAGGAGTGATTCATCAACACATCTTTAACCAGATAAACAGTAATACTATATACTCTTTAAATACTGTCATCATACTCAATAACCTCTAATATACTGTATCTTTAAGTCACAACACACTCTTATTTTTACATTGTGCTTTCTGAGTGAGAGTCTGATTGTATAACAGTGGTGGGCTTGTAGTGGTGTTAGTGAGGGGTGACATTAAGTGAGGCGCCCGGGCAACTGAGTCTTGACCTGAGTTTAACCTCTGGTCATCCCAGGGTGAATTGATGGTTTCAGGTGAGACTTGTGCCAAAGACCAAGAACGATCAGAACAGATGCAGAAGTGGGTCAAGAACACAGGAATAGCCAAACGGAAAATGTGGCAAAAACTAGACAGGACTTAACCTCCACTGATTCAGTGTGTTTCCCTAGTTATAGTTTTTCAGAGCGTCTTACAGCATGAATTGGACTGAAGGAAGGAAAGGTTGTCAATTTGGAATATCTGTTGCCGCATAATCACATTCATATATACAGTAATTTACTTGTAAAGGTTTCAATCTACCTGTATGGATTGTGGAAAGAAACCCAGGTCAACATGAAAAGTATGCACAGGACTCAAAGATTAACCCTGATCTTTTGTTGTGCTGTGATGTCTTTAGTGCCAAACTTGACCTTGGTTGAACAATATTGTTGTTGGTCACTAGAATAATGTTTATCAGAGCTTCCAGGTGTTGGTCTTATTGTTTTAGAGCCCAGACCCAGCTGATCAGACCTGCCCAGCATTTGATTCTGATGGTCCACATTTTTTCTGTAATGTCCTCCAGTTGATATTGTATTGAGACCCTTGTCTCCTATAGTTGGGGGTTAATAGTGGCAATATATGTGATCATTGTGTTAGATATTGATGCTAAGGTGGGTGATCTATTGGCTACAAGATGCCAAGGGATGTGAAGACATATTTCAAAGTCATGGTCATCCTTTCAGTCATGTTATTAACTAAAAAAAAGTTCAATGTACAGAAAAATCTAATGGTATGGAGAAACTGTCTTTGTAGACACAACATGTCAGTGCAACGTAAAACTGGTGTTATGTAATCTGATGCCAAGAGGTCCTCACTGACAGACCACTACTGGGCATTTCCCTGCTTAATGGGAGTTCACATCACACCAAAAAAAGTCTTTTACCATGTGGTGATGTTTAAGGCTTCATATTCAATGTTATTCAGATGGGTTTATCTGTCTGAAGTTTCAGATGGGAGATAGGTATTTGGATTCAAACAAACTGTTACAAGAAGCTGCAGCACCTAGAAAGCTACTGCCACTTCCACTGAGGAAAAAAATTGCACCATAGCACTAAAAGATGCCAATAAATACAAATCTAATCATAATAGAACAACATTTTCCATATGTACAATCTCTACTAGACTTCCACAGCTAATATAAGCTACCCACCGCCAATTCAGACAAGGAATACACAAACAGAAGGCATAAATTAAACAAACTTTAGCTGCATGGAGAACAGTGAGGTGCTGCCTGTATCTCTCTCAACTTAGTCTCTTCTGTCTCAAGGTAGCAGCAGACTCTAAGTCACAAATTATCCCTTGACACCAAACGATCTATTCATCTCACCTCTTTAATGACCCTGATGTCAATGCTCAGAGAGTCAACTCCAAAATGTTTCATGAAATAAAAGCTACATAAAGGAATGTAAATTACCAACTCTCTAAATGTTTCTCAACACGTCTCAATCAAAATCATCTAAATACCCAAATTTTTGTGAAGACTGACGTCTTTTCATTATTCAAGACACTGAACTTGCCCTCTCCTTTTGGCCGGTCACCATCTGATGTCATCGTGATGTCTAGTTTCACAGAGATTTGGGTTTAGGGTTCTGTTGCTCATTCTGTTGCTGTGTTTACACATGCTAAATAAATTCCTACCATTATAGACATTACTCCCACAGCAGCCATTGTACATGAATGTACTTCAAACTCAACAAGCTCAAGCTCAGGCAACAAAACAAATGGACCTGAGGAGTCTGGAAGATGCAAGTAAGTGTTTAAAACCCAAAGTTACGACTGTAACCCTGGTTCTCTGATAGCATGAGTGTGCAGGGGACTATAACCTATTGTAAAATATTGAGTGAATTCTCAGTATCATTGGCGATATTGGGGAGTAATTAATAACATGATGTAATTGTAATCAGTTACAGTTACTAGGAGAAAATAAGTACCAATAAAAATGGGAGTACATCTGAATATATTCTTTTTGGTAAAAGGTTTATAAGTAGAATATAATACTCATTTTGTTACTTTGCATCCTTTTGCCATGCAGGAATGCCTTCTTTTGTCATAGCCTATTTCTGGACATTTTTCAGCTTTATTGCCCAGGTTAAAACAGATGATAGAAAAGTAATCAAAAAGTAATTACATGTAGTAAGTTACGTTACTTTGATGAAGTAACTAAAGATGTTACATTATTTATTACATTAAGCACCAATACCGCTTGTTAATGTAATCGCACGGTGATACATTGGTCAACTAGGCCATCTGTCAATGCTTGTTCTCTTTGAGATAATAAAATTGTTTTATGTTTTTTTAATCAAAAGATGTAATATGTTTCAGGCCTATATATGCCTTCCTTATAACACTTGGAGTCCTTCTTACCTTCAAAAAGTAATTTTTCTTTTCCAAAAACGGGTTTACAAAAGAGAGGCTGTGTTCAGGCTAATATTACAGCCACCTCTCAGAATCTAACAATGGTAAATCTGTCTTCAGGTCCTTCTGGAACCTTCTGTCCTTCTCTCAAATTGACATATGTGGCATGTATAGATAATGTATGAGGAAATGTTTTATTAAGTTATTGAGCTAGTGGCTCGAGCTAGCTTTTGTCCATGTCAGAACACATTTTGTACATATTCATTCTAAAAACTCATTGGCTGCTTGCAAGGCCTTCATGGTTTTCAACATAATTTTTTTTTAAACAACCCAAACTTCGTCACTTAGCAACTCAAAACAGTAGGTTTGACAGCTAGCCAGGGAGCTAGCTAACCTTCAAGCTAAATTCAAAGCATTCAGTTTTCCTGAGATTGCAAGCTAATCTGGCAACTAACTCTGTATAGTCCTCCTTTACTCAACATGTCGATGTGAGTTCAGAATGGCTGATGTGAGAATAATGTCCATGGCTTTTGGTCGATTATAAAATGAACAAAAATATAATTATTATAATACTGTGTATGGGAGCAAATGTGGAATGAGCACCTACTGTGAAATAACAGTTAACTAGATGAGCTACCTGTGGTCAACCATAACAGCCAGTGGTGTAGTGGAAGGTATACGCAGGTATATGGGGTATACCCATACCCACCTTTTTCTGGCCATTTACAGTACACTCACCTATCAGCCAAAAGCCACTGGAATCTATTGTAAAGTATACCCACTTCCTCCTTGGTAACCTACCCATCTACCTAGTATTACACCCACCTCATCAACTACCACTACACCGCTGCTAATGGGAGTGAAAAAAAGCCACATCCCCAAATGCACTACCCCATAACAGTAACTGCTACATGAAAAACTCAACGTCAGGGTCCTTGCTACATGACAAACTCCACCTTACAGTGGCTCAAAGCTACTTGAAACATGAACATGACAATCCAATATCTTGAGCCAGCAAACTACTATGGTGAGATGCAAACGCATTAGTAATCTCACATTGTAAAATGCACTGTTTGTTCAATTTTCACTGCAGTTGACACCATTCATTTGCACTGTGTAAACATGTACTTACAAAAAGAGTTGAGGAATGTGAGGGTTGAAAGAGGAGGGGGTTTGAGAGGGGGAGGGTGAGAGCGGGTGAAACGCAAGGGCGGGACGGGGGGGTTCAAAGGGAGGTGGGGAGTGTCCAGGAGTCGTGGCGTGTAGTTGAATATCTTCATGCTCAGTCCCTGTTCACACTGCACCAGGCAGCTGCAAATAGAAAGAGAGGGATGACAAGTGAGAAAAAGAGGTTTGAAAGAAAATGAGGCCCAGAGGGGAGTACAGACAGAAAGACGTGCAAGGGAATGAGAGGAAACAGATTGAATGGAGATGAGGAGAAATTTGGCAAGGAAGAAAGTAGTCAGAGAGTGAGAGAGAAGAGAGCAGGGTGAGCAGAGATGGATTTAAAAAACGAGAGTTAGACAAGAAAAAAGTACAAATGGCAGTCTGCCAGGCATCACCTCAAGTCACTGACAGCCTATGCCTCAGAGCGTGGATGCATGCCAGTGTCAGTGGTTTTAAATGCTGCCGGGTTGCTTTAATTGTTCAGAATGCCTCTGAGCTTTGACTGATTACACAGCCAGCCTTACTGACTTAACACTAATCAGTTTCTCAGGATTATGAGGAGAGTGTATTATCATTCAGTTCTGCACTGTATTTGTGTATTTTTACACCATTTCCTTATTTTCTGTTCATTACTGACTTACGTCTATTTGGTTTTATTGTTCTTTAATCAGTGCTGAATTGATTTATCACCTATAACTTTGGTAACTGGTTGATAATCTTAAATCTTTTTAACACAAGACACCATCTTGGGTTTCAGAAACACAGTTTTCTGATATCTTACAAACTAAACAATGAATAAATTAATCTAAAAATTAATCAAGATACTTTTATACTTTAAGTTAAAGTTATGTTGTTATGCAGTTATGGCAGAACCCACAGATGGTTATTAGTCCTTCAGACCCTGAAGGTACATTTGTTTTTCACTGCCATCTACCTGTAACTGTAATACTGTACAATTCATCCTACTGTTCTCTGTGGAAATGAATAACAAATTATCAGAACTTCATTGAGCCATTATATGTCATTTGACAACTTGCAAAATCAAGCATAGGTAGTGGAACAGACCAATGACTGTATATAAAGATGAACGGCATGACAGTTCCCCAAAAGTGAAGCCAAAACATCTTGATCGCCCTCTGGTGGCTGGCTGCAGTATAGGTCATAAAGCCCGCCCCCTCCACGTTTGCAGACAGAAAATGGGCCAGACTAAAAGATCAAAGTACACGTCTAATACATTTTTCCCTAGAGATAATTTCTTTCATTTTAGGCAGTTCCTACCGCACTGCTGTATGTTGTCATAATTTTTCTGACGAGAACATTAGAGCGAGAGACAACGAAAAACCAAAAGCTGACCGCAGTACAAAAACAAAGACAAAAAAGAAAAAGAAAAAAGAAAAAGAAAAGGACAATGACAAAATTTGCAAATTCGCACGTTCCATTTTCTTTTATCGTTTGTTTTTTTTTAGGTTTTTTATAATTGTTGTTTACTCGATAATAAGTTGGTTACTTGTGTTGATAACTCATTAGCTCTGATTATTAGTATTTTTTATTTTTATTTTTATTATTTAATATCACAGGGGAGGGAGTGGCACCAGGAGAAGCTTGCTTTGGGCACAAAATGTGCTAGGTCCTGTTTTAAAAAGGTTTTAATCAGGTTTTTAATGCTATAAAAAGAGGACTGATGTCATGATTGACAGCTGTGTGTGCCAATCTATGTGCTTGCATTCAGGGTGTATGGGCGGGAACTTATACCAGGCTCCACTTCGCAAATACTACAGTGCAGACTCTGGCTCCAAATAAGGTCACCAACGCAAGATGGCAGCGCCTGTATCTGGGATGTTTTGGCTTCATTTTTGAACAGTGAGAGGATGTTGAGATGCATCGTCCATCTTTATAAACAGTCTATGAAAACAGACCAAATCTTGCGTTTAGTCCCTTGAGTGAATCAGTCTCCAAAAACACTGAATCTTACTCGTACACACTCATGATGCAACCTCCAAATGCCCATGTGTTTTGTTTTGTTTTTCAAACACAGACTCAGATTTGACTTTTTTTTTCAGGCGCATTCCCATGACAAGTAAATCTTAGTATCGCAAATCATAGCTGCTCCTTTGATTGATGATAAAAAATAAAGTTCAGCCTACTGTTTGACTCTGTAGTATTTCAGCACTGACCTGGCACGGCTACAGAGGACACAGCCTCTGGCTGGCACAGTGTATCCACCTTCACATGCTGAAAGGCTTTGTTGGGAGCCGACTGGAGGTGCCTGGAATCAGAGGGGAGCGTGAGAGAGCACACACACACATAGCTAAAAAACATAACACATATGTCCACGAGCATTCAGATGTGCGCAGTCACTCAAGCACACATGGCCTCAAACCGCTTAGCATGGCCCTTAGCCTTTACTGTAAGAGTTGAAATATTAATGGCAGCAGGATGCTGTGAGCAGTGGAGCAAAAACTCCGATCAGCAGGCAGCTACATCAGCAACCTCTCCTCCTGCCCAGCACCAGCACCATCACTAAATCATGATGACCTGACGTAACTCAAGTGCTTCAGCAACTCTGGAGTGAGCCAATGTCTGAAGAATGCTAATTAAAAGTGGATGGAGGAATTTTTCCAACAGGCTCATGACAGTAATGGAGGAAAAGTGAGCGCTCTCTTTATTTGGCAATCACCAATCAATGAAAACAATGGCAGGAAGAAATGGCATGCTCAGCTCCAAAAAATCTTTCAGAGGAGCCAGAGTGCTGACTTGCAGTTATTTTCAGAAACAAAATGAATGTCCATGCTCAGTAACGACTTTTAATACTTTTAAGGTGGATCAGCATTAGTTACGAAACATTTTGCAGCAATGAGCCATTTCAACATTTACACTTTAATTCTGCCTGTTGCTCATTTTTCGTATGACAGCAAGACGGCTACTTTGACTGCATTCATGCTTTTTTACAAGTTTGTTCACACAAGTCACAGAAAATCAAAAAAGCTCTAAATACTGGCCTGAGTGACAGATATTAACCAGGGGTTTAGACTTAAGACTGACATATAATTATTTTTAAGTACATAAAGCCACATGTGGTTAAAAACTCACCTCTTCCACTCCTCCTCTCCATCCCAGAACTCGTAGACGACAAAGGATAAACCGTCTGGCAGACGCACCGCAGTCACACTGGAGCAAAGACAGAGGAGAATGGTAATGAGTGGATAATAGAGGAGGGAAGGTGGCATGCAAAGTGACGGGTGAGGAAGTGAGAGTTATGACAGAATGGTAAGTGGATCAAGGAGGGGGGAGGGGTGTGAAGAAGAGATGTAGATATACAGTAGGTTGATGGCATAAGTGATGGTAGAAGAGAAACAAGACAGATAAGACATGGCAGAAGAGAAAGGTGGAGCAAAGAGTAAAGAGAAGAAAGATGGAGGATGGAGAGGATATATCATGGTTCACATTAAAGACATAATTAAAATGAAAAAGAAACACACACAATAACAGTTTGGATTTCAGAAAAAAAATCAAGGTGACTCATTTCCTCATCCCGCACAATAATGATACCACAGCACTTAACACCGTGATGTGGCCTTGAAGATTGCATCCCATCTGTAAAAATGAAACTCGCAATAATACAATGGAACAACATGTGACCAGGTCAGTGTAGATGAGGGAATCTGGATGTTATTGGCCAATTCTATAAGGCACATTAAAGGGTACGTTTTGCTGTAATGAACAAGGGCTCCATATTGCCTCCCGAAGCATTTATGTGTTGAAATATGGGTTCAACAAGCTGCTAAAAGTAATCCACAGGGGATCATTGTCCTTTTCTCCTTAATAGCATCATTCAGTTTTCCCAATAACTGCTGCATTCAAGGGCTGCAGGCTTAAACTGGAACCACTGTCATGTTGGAACAATCTTAACTCATTGAGAAAGTGTGTTGTCGGAAATGTTAATTTGACAAAAAAAACATAACCTAAAAAGGACTACGGCTTGTCAGTAACAATATTTTGATTTCAGGTGGCAGAAAAATGTCACGTAAAGAAGCATTACACAATATTCAGAGCATTAATATAGCAGCAAACAACTATTTGCTACGTAAAGATACAATGGGACCTGAATAGACTAGACACACTCCCTCTGTGTGTATTGTAATCCAAGCTTCCCTGTTTGTTGTTGTGAAAGACAGTTTGGCCGCATGTGCATATTAGTGCGTGTGAATCCTGTGTGTGTATCCCACTGGTTAGCTAATCGCTGCCGATCTGCACTCTGCTCATACGGCAGTTTATACTAATATTGGGACAGTGTCATCATGGAAGCTTAGCACCCACCCTCTGGTACTCCCCAAGGGGCAACCCCTGGTTCTAAAAAATGAAGCCAGCACAAAAGTACCAAAAACTGCAATTCCTCAAACAACCATTTATATAACTAACTGATTTCCATCTTGTTAAGACTTAAAGTTATGCATAAATAAGGGAGGGTCACTTTAAGTGACAGGCTGTCTGCTGTTAGTGTCCTAGGTGGAAAAACCAAGATGGTGAAGACCAAAAAGCCAAACTCGAGGCTTTAAAACCAATGGGTGACATCATGGTAGCTACGTCCCTTATTTTTACAATCTATGGTTCTCCCCCAGGTTAACACTGTCAGCACTGTTGCCGTTGTTAACACTGTTCTATTTGCTGGCTCAGCAACCTCCATGTTGAGAGCCGTGTGCAGACAGTTTCTGAAGTATAGATACGCACTGAATATTGTACAGAGCTCTTTTAAGAGTTAAGCTGCTTTCACACACAACCGCAGTAACTCGCCACCAACAGTCAACAGTTGGGTGGTATGAAGTGGTTGCCGCTCACGTGAACGTGATTTTGCTCTCCCATGCAGAGTTCAATGTGTTGGCAGAAAGAAGACAAGATAGAGAAGTTTTTAACATTGGTGATGAGTGTAAATGAGTGGAGTCAGCTGTCAGTCAGTGCTGGAGCAGAGAGGGGGAGGGTGGCCCCGCTCGGTACTGTAAGTGAGTATGTGTGTGTTAAGTGTGTGTTTTTTCGCCACTGACCGGTTCAGATCACCAGTGCTATCTCTGTAAATAGCATACTAAGCGTTTCCCTTACCTCTGGGCTATGTGACGTCATCTCGTGAGAGCTTTGCTCCACTGTGTCTGTAGCTATCTCTACTTGTGGGACAGCCGTTTTCTTGAGGAAGAGGTGTTTCGGGATTGGATGTCTTCTCTTCTTCGGCTGGCAGTAGTCATCTTGGGAGAAGTGAGCACTGCAGACCCAATGGTCTGCAAGGCGCAGTGTCTGGAGAGGAGTGTTAGCATCCATTTGTAGCACGACTAGCCACAACTTCAGCATCTCGCCGTCCGACAAAGGCAGCCTGTGAAAGCTGTACGGGGTGTTGTGCGACATCCTGTTCTTGTGTTCGGGAAAAAGGCCCGTTTATTTGAGCACTCCAAAAACTCCGGTAACACTCCAGGGGGTAGCACGTAAAAGACTCCATCCTCTGACTCTTCTAGCGTAACACACACTTCACACACACATACTCATTTACTGTACCAAGCGGGGACGCCCTCCCCCTCTCTGCTCCAACACTGACTGACAGCTGACTCCACTCATACCACACTCACCACTGCCCCAGGGCCGCTACAATATGCTATCTACAGAGATAGCACTGGCGATCTGAACTGGTCAGTGGCGAAAAAAAGCACTTTTATATGGGACGCATTTGCCCCCATTACCGTTTTAGCTCGTTTTGCGCCTCAATACTGAACCAATTTTAGAACGAGTGGTACCCATGAATCATACGCACACATATACATGGGGAAATAGAGCCCAGGTTGAAAAATACCGAAGTTGTCCTTTAAACCACCAGCAGCCTATGTTACTGACTGTACCTAATTCTCACCCTGACTGAAACAAAGATTGGGGTCTGATGACTTTCAGCCACTCAGTCATTTAGTTTAGGTGATCACATGTCCACTGTACTGTCTCATTCCAGTCTCATTTACAGTTGAGTAAAAATCTCAATCATGGTGTCTTATGAAGCATTCAGCATTCAACATTAGGAATATTTTCTATGTGATGATGTCTTCACATCAGTTTAAACATTTGATACAAGATCCCCATGAGCTACTAACACTCTATAAATCAGTGTAAGACAATGTCCTGAATGAGTGTTTAACAAAACCCAGTGGCCTCTAATTTAGTGCCAGTAAAATTTGAATAGCACCAAAGCACTGCGATTCCATTTTCATCAGACTCAGGTCCATTACATGCATCGCCCCTGTTTGGTAATTGTCCAGCTCTAACTGCTTTGCGGTGAATGGAGTGGAGCAGCTGAGGCTTTGGTTATGCAGATCAGTCAGAGCACTGCAATTTTGGTACTTGTTTCAACATGAAATTACACTCGCATTTATGCCAGCTCTTATCACAAACACTATTTTCATTGTAATTTTCAAAGCAATTTTCATGGTGCAATCACAGTTTTGCCTCTTTCGCACTGCAATACATTTTTTATCTGGTACAAGTTTATGCCCAGGTACAGGGCCTGGAGTGTTTTTCTACACAGCAGATTGGTATACTACTCCACCGAGAGTGGATACGGTGAAAGCAGGTGCATTGTAACAGGCATCCTGAGCAACATCAAAGATCTCAGGATTAATCAAAGTAATATTTTCTGTCTTGGCAACAGGGATATAAAGTCCAGCCCAGGCTATTACTCACACTATTTGCAGTAGTGGCAGTACAGTAATTTATTGTATTAAAGTGCGTAAATGTACACACACATGACCAACTGAATACAACATCTTTAATCACTTAATAAGATTTTAGCCAACAGACAGTAATAATGGGAAAATATTTTAGTGATATTACTGTGTTAAATAACTTCACATCATTACTGAGTGAACTGATTTTTATCCTTACAGAATTAAAATATGTGCTGTATATCAATATTTGTGATTTGCAGCTTCAGCCTTGGCTCTCCTACTGGCACATTAAACTATCTGCTGCTTTAAGATAGATAGATAGATATTTATTTATTCGTCCTTATGGAAACTTGTTCTGCGCCATACAGTACATCTGATACAGTTACTAGGCAAAAGGGACTAGACAAAAGAAAGACAGCTTACTACTAGACAAGACAGGATAGACAACAGTTTCTGACCCCCAACCCACCTTCTCCCCCAAGACCAGGACAAAAGACACAGACCCCTCTACACATCATAAGTAGAATGGTAAAGTGCATTTACCAAGAGCGGGAAGAGCTGATGTGATTGGCAATTGCACTTACCAATTTCAAAAACATGGATCCTTTTCAGATCTGTATTTAAAGCAACTTTGAGGAGGAATCTAAACCATAATCTGTCACATGTACTATGAAGTACCAAAGTGTTCAATATAATGGAATTAATAACCACAGGAAAACTAGAATTAATGCCTCAGGGTTGTGTGCATCCATGCACCAGTCAAGTTGCAATTAGTTTCCATCCATGTCTGGAAAAACAACCGCATTCCACTAATTTCTAAGTAGTTCATTGTTGAGTCTAAGTGGACATCTGTGCCAATTTTGAAAAAAAAAAAAAAATCTCTTAAGGCGTTCTTGAGATATTGCATTGATGCGAATGTGACAAATGAAAGGACAATCAACAAAACCAAAAACATAATGCCTCCAGTCACAGCTATCGCCAGCATGGAGGCATAAAGACGTGCTCCTAACGAGTTAATAGTTTATTATGTTCTCTCTTTCATTATGCCATTTCCCAAGTGACAATTTTATTTCCTGTCATGACTGAGTTCATAATGACACTTCTTTTTGACAACAGAGGGGTCCGCCATTTCAGCTTTTAACCAATTACATCCCCTCAAATCCCCCAACAAACTCTCAATATCTTACATTTAACACACAAGCCCCTCATAGGTGTCTCTCAGGTTAGACAACTTGTAGAAAGCTTCTGGTTGCATGGCAACCGCCTCACAAGTCTCATAGGAATTTCGTTCTGCCATCAATGCTAGTGCTGTTT